TTGGGTTTATATGTATTGTTCCTTTACATTTGCCATAATAAAACTGTTTTGGAATCTGTTCGTTTTACACACTGGATAGTTAAACATGTTCTTACGTCTCAAATTCATACTAGATCTATTTTTCTCTGGTAACAGTGCATGCAGTTTATGAGATGTATTTTGAACAATATCGTTGAACAGTTTTTTCGTTAGAGTATCTCTTCTGCTGTACAAGGAGTCCAAACCAGCTTGCTCTAACGCATCACAATATGGTATATGTGGGAAAATGATACCGAGTGCTCGTTTTTGTAGTTTTTCCAAGTCATCAGATAGATATTTAGTGAGAGAATTATGGAAAACGTGACAGGCATATTCTGTTACTGGACGCACGCAAGTTAAGTAGAATAGCAGCATCTCTTTCGTTGCAAGGCCAGCTCGTTTAAGTTGTTTAAGAAAGTACAGTCTAGTTGACTGACTTTTCGTACGATCTCAGAAATGTGCGTATTCCACTTAAGATCATTTGAGATGTTAAGACCTAATAGCTTTACCGATGTAACTACTTCAATGTCTTTGTCATTAACGCAAATAGGGGCAAAATCGGGCTTAAACTTCGCGAAAGATATGCGTAACTCTTTGCACTTCGTTTCATTTTTCTGAAATTTGTTAGCTAAGGACTGGTTCGACAGATCTTCGACGTACTCTTGCATGGCACTTGCATCATTCTTCAACACAGTTTCTGCAACCGTTGTATCGTCAACATACTTCCACTGGTCAACATCTGCTACAGCAACAGTGTTTATCATAATCAGATAAAGCCATGGACCAAGTTTAGTTCCTTGGGGAACACCGGCTGGAACAGTTCCCCATTCTGAGTAGCAATCGTTGCTCAGTTTCACCCTTTGTTTACGATCCGTCAGGAAATCGAGTATCCAGCACACAATGCACGGCGGAAGGTCATAGTTGGAGAGCTTTCGTTTAAGGATGTTATGGTCGATCAAGTCAAAGGCTTTTGTAAAATCGAATAAGACCACTCTAACAGATGATCCAGACCCATCCGTAGCTTTATTCCAACAGTGAAGCATACTAATTAGCGCTTGTGTTGTAGATGATTTTGGAACAGTTCCAAACTGCTCATTCCCAATCTTCTTTAGGACAGCTGGTTTGACAAAATCGCGAACTACAAAACCCTCGCCAATCTTAGAAAGGATAGATGTTAAGGAGATTGGACGAAGGTGCTTGTTGACATCAGATATTGGCTTCTTTTTGGGAATCGGTACAATATCTGCTTTTTTCCAGGATTTTGGTAACCGGCCAGTACTATAGGAGTGGTTTAATATATCTTTCACCGAATCTGCTAGTAGGTCGGCGTTTTCTTTCAGCAACCAAGTTGGAATGCCATCTGGGCCGTGAGCTTTAGTTGGAATCAACGATGAAAGTTCCTTGTACACATCGTCAGCGGTAACTACAAGGGCGGGGTAATTCAGGGGTAATTCATCATTGGCATCATGTAGTAACGGCTGGAAGGTATTCATTGGAGTAAGAAAGGTTGAGTTGATCATGTTAGCTAGATCGGTGCTACTAGCGTTTAATTCTAAGTGTTGCAACAGATTTACTAAATCGTCACGCGTTCCAGCTGTTGGTGTCATTCCACTTAGTTTTTTTACCTCTTTCCACCAAAGCGAGGGTTTGCTTTCTTTTAGATGTTGGACTTTGGCGTGATAGTACTTTGATCGGCATGTCTTCCGTTCTCGATTAACACGATTCCTTAAGCGTCGGAACTCATCATGATTTCCTTGGGCAAGAGCTATTTGGCGACTTCTTATGAGGCGTTTGAGGGTAGAATTCATCCATGGAGGTTCACTCAGATGTATTGTTTTGGATCGAAGAGGGATAATGTGATCTAGTCCAGTCTTGACTATCTCCTCAAATAAGGAAACCTTTTCCTCACAAGTAGACACGCTGTTAAGCATAGACGCGACATCAACGAGCTCGAGGTATGATCGAACGGCTAGACGGTTGCTGGCACGCATGTCTCTCGATTTCACTTTTTGTTTCGATGGTGGGAAATGAGATCTTGCTTGGGGTTGGACTTCGACGGATACATGATCTGAGAGGCCAAAGGGGGCTCGTTTGATCGGATCTTTAAACAATTCTTTGAGGTTAGTCAGTACTAAGTCTAGGGTGTTAGAACCTCTAGTCGGAAATTTGACAATTTGTTTTAAATTGTAGCTCCTATTTAAACTTGCAATGTTTAGTTGATTGAAATCGCCAAGAAGGATAATATCTTGCAAAATATATATATTAAGAATTTGCCGCTAAAGGAATTTCTAATTAATTCCTCTTTTCCGGAGTAATTTTTTCATTGTACTTAATTACATTTTAGAACGAGTAATTGAAATCAGGAATTTATTACATTTTAAAGCAAGTAATTGTAATTGGAATTAATTCCTTTTTCAGTGGTAATTTTGCAGCCCTGTAAACAAAGCAGAAAGTTTGACAAACTTTCTGCTTTGTTTTGAATGTAAATGCAATGGGCTTTGTTTCTGCCCGTGATTTTTTGGTCAGAATTTTTGGAAATTGCTGCTAGCTAATACATAACCCGGAAAGTGATTCCAAGCGTGCATTGCTGTAATAATAGCATTGAAATAATATATACTGTAATATTATACCTCAAATTCAAAGTGTCCAAACAGGAAACTAAATTTGGCCTCGTGGGCATAAACTTTATCATCGCATCACGCCTTACGTCTACTGAAGCCTCAAAATTCAAAGAAAGCGATTTTTTAAATTATGAAGCAAATTTTGAAAAATGTTATCATTCGAAATAAAAGTGACAAATACTTGCGTTAATAAAAGAATAAAGCATCGTATTCAAGTGGCAATTGTATGGTATGTGGCAAATTTTATATTCCTAACTTGAAGGCTTTTAATTTCGGGATATTAATATATCATTTATAGCAGTGGCGTAGCTAGCGGTCCTGCTTATCCTGCCAAGCAGAACAAAATATTCCCCCAAATTTCCTTATAGTACGAAAACATTGCTTTATTTATCTTGAAGCTTTAAAAATTCATCATTATCATATTGTTATTTTGTCTCATTTTCTAATATTTTTTTTATTATTTTTAAAAAAGATTTCCGCATATATTCTATTACATTTACGCAATTTTCCAGCTTACCATGACTATTAAGTAGCAACTGCAACTCTAGAGGAGCTCATTTCCGAGCAATATATTGATATAGACGCGCCTCGTGTTTCAGTCCGGCCATTTTGAAATTGCAACACTTGCTAGTATATTTTGTAGTAAATTCAGACATGCGAAGTCCTTGATCCTTTCTCAAAATGGCAAGACTTGGCCTTGTATTAAAGGAAAACCGAATGGTTTCCGTGCAGGATTGCGTGATCCATGCACGCGGGATGTTTCAAGACTTTCGGAAAGCGTAAAAAAGCTCGAGCCGCCAGAACAGACGCCAGGCGAAAGCTTTTTTGGATCACGCTATCCTGCAAGAAGCTAAGAAACTATTCGGTAACTGAAAATTTTATAAAATAACTGCAGTGAAACAATGGTCAGGTTAATTCATTCTTTGTAGTTATTGTATAACCTTTGTTCATTGTTTCGGTGAACTTGCCACTCGTTTAATATACCGTTGTTGTTTATTCAAACATTGAACTATGTTTTCGTTGTCCGACATTTTGAAAACCCCGCGGAAGGCACTTAAATTTGCCGTACAGGATTGTTTACTGTTTATTTATTTATTTATTTATTTAGCTTTGCCAACGAGGGCAGGGTCACCACAACAACATATGCCAATTACTGTGGGCCTTTTTACCTAACCCACCCTGTCAACTTTCCCTGACGACTTTCGGCAGAGCGTTCTCAGCGTTGACTTTTACTCTTTTCACATGAGGACTGGGCTCGAGTCGCATTGAGAAAGTACTTACTTAGGCTTGAACCTGCGGCCTCAGAGGTGAAAGGCAAGTGCGCTAACTACTTGGCCACAGAAGCCCCGAATTGTCTCATCCTGCACGGGTATTGACCAATCAGATTGCGTGTTTGCATGACTGTAGTTATTATATGTCTTTTTTTGCGAGCTTTCGGCGTGAGTAAACCCAATTTATTCTGTCGAGATTACTCAAGTTATGAATATGGAAATCAACCAGGTGGAAGTTCATTGAGATTTGGATATAATTTCTGGCTTCTGCTAAGTGTCAGTTAGCTCATGAAATGCATGTGAACAGACTCGATTGTGTAGTACAATATAATGGGGGAATACAAACATCATTTGTGAAGCTTGTCGTATTGATATAAAGTATTAACGTATTATCTACTGCCAGTTTGTGTGTTTTGTGCATTGAAACACGAGCGCTTATATGGAGTTTAAAAAATGATATACCATATTTGGCCGCATTTTAATACACTATATTAAACGCTACGGCAATTTTAATACCATAAGCATAGCGTACTGAACTAGCTACATCCAGAGTGCCAAGCGTAGTGGTCTATAGCTGATACCATTCCGTTATAGTTTAACCACATTAACAGAAGTAGTAAATTTTTAACGAATGCTATAGCCGTAGCGTTATATTAGTTAACATGCACAACTCAACGAAAACGAACGTATAACCTCATTATTATAAACACTGAAACGATCTATTCGTCGAAACGCATAGAAACTGGCCTGCTCATTGGTAGAGACCATAGATATATCTATGGTAGAGACAGCACATCATGAATTTTCGGCTGATATTAAACGAATATTAATAGACACACACCGCCCCACGTATAAAAAACTAACTAATTTCCATAGTTGAGACAGCACATCATGAATTTTCTTCTGGGATTACACAGCGAACGTAATCATACGCATGGACAATACAATTACTGTATAAGTTGTTCGAAACCCATTGTCGACAAATATTCAGTATTTTAGAAAGAACTCGACACTTTCCCAAGTTAAACTCCAAAACAAATGTTCAATTGTTGTCATAATTTGTTGAAAAAGTCCGGACCATTAAACTCACAAAGTTAGGAAACAAAACTCGATATATGTGGACTTCGGATGTTCACAGAATAGCGGTTAACAATTAAAGCAAGTTTATACATGCCCATAGCATTATAAACTTAAGTTAATGAAACAAGCGTTAGGACAAGGGTAAAGTTGTGCAAAGTCTCCTGGAGTACAAAGGTGAATCTGTGTGATACACGTGCAAAGCGCAAGGCTGAATTAACAACAAACCATTGTCAAATCTCTTCCCATGCGTGCGGGAAAATAGACCAATCAGGTTTCACCTCTTCGTCTACATAGTTTCCTGCTTGGATCAGTAAGCCTCATTGTGTCATTTGCAAGCAAAATTGTATGACTTTTGGAAGAGATATTTCTTGGATATAAAACAACGGTCAGTAACACACTCTTCTGGTGGACAAAGGAATACGTTGGCCCAAGTATTGATTGTATAATTCAGTGAGACGCAGTTTATTCAAATATAACTCTGCCGCGGGCAACCGCCTTTTCTCTTCTGGTGGACAAAGGAATACTAACGTTGTTGGCTCAAGTATTGATGTATGATTCAGTGAGACGATGTTTATTCAAATATAACTCTGCTGCGGGCAAGCGCTTTTACTCATCTGGTGGACAAAGGAACAACTAACGTTGGCTCAAGTATTGATGTATGATTCAGTGAGACGATGTTTATTCAAATATAACTCTGCTGCGGGCAAGCGCTTTTACTCATCTGGTGGACAAAGGAACACGTTGGCTCAAACGAGAAGCCAGTCAGCTCCAGTTTCAGATTCGCAGCTCCAGTTTCAGATTGAATCTGGAGCCAGAGGCATGGCGTTCGTGTTCGAATGGCTCTAACTCCACAAAGCCTTCACCCATCTTAACAATATTTTTTTTCATTCTTCTTCAAGAAAAGGACTATCATATAACGCAATCCCTAAGTCGCTACTGCTTCTAGATTGCTCTAAACAGCTTGCATAAGTCAAGTCGCCAAACCGTGTCGGGTCAATTAAATCTTGAGCAAGACACGGTTAGTTCCTATCTAAATCTCTGTATCGTCGTAAGGAATAAATGTAACGCTATAATAAATTTTTTCATTCTTCACTGATAATTTGCACATCACCTAAAGCATTCGGCTTGTCTGTAGCGCTTTTAGTTTTCTCTGGAGGCCTCGCATAATTATGTCACCGAACAGCGACATATTGATGGAGACTGCAAACACGCGTGCCGCTTAGCGATTTAAAACGCTCGTTCTCTGCCACAAGTTTCTTTATCGTCATAATTTTTTTTTTCATTCTTTACCCATAATATTCGCATCATATGAGATTATTTTTAAGCTTATACCGATTTAAACTTTGACTGAACAGCTTGCACAAGACAAGTCGTCGAACCGCCACATATTGACACTTACCGCAGGTCAGTCGACAAGTCAGCATACTAAAAACGCTCTATCTCAGCCAAAAATTAACATATCCCTTAAATATTATTTTTCATTCTTCACTGATAAATTACACATTATTTAAAAAAATCAGCTTGTCTTTAGCGCTTTTAGTTTTCTCTGGAGGCCTCGCATAAGTTAGGTTATGTTAGGTTACTACAAGTACAGCTCGAACTATGTAATTGATACATATAAATTTGTTTTACAATATTACTTAAAGTGCCTATGCAACGAAATTTTCACCTCATTTTTTATTGTTTTTCTAAAAAGTACTGCTGGAGTGATGAAGAATAACGTTTACAGTTTTGTCATATCTCATTCTCAAGTTATCGCACTTTCTATATTTTGAGTTGTGACGTCACAAGTATGAGTTGAGATAATGGCAATAACAAGAAAGTATGATATCTTGGTGAGTATTTAATAAAATTTAATGAAACTTGGTACACTTAGTGGGTGCAACAAAGTCAACAATTTGGCTTGTTTGTATGGTTGTTATTAAATTAAGAATTGGCGTAATATTTTATAGTTGTACAGAAGCCCAGAGGCGACAGCATAAAATTATTTGTATTTTTGTGTTTTATATTTTGTATTTTTGTGTTTTATATTTTGTATTTTATATTTTGTATTTTATATTTTTGTGTAATTATAATGTTCTTAAACGTGGGATTATAGGCATTTAGTAATACAAATTGTCGTGATATTACCAACAATTTATATTTTGTATTTTATATTTTGTATTTTATATTTTTGTGTAATTATAATGTTCTTAAACGTGGGATTATAGGCATTTAGTAATACAAATTGTCGTGATATTACCAACAATACATATGTCAAAACATGATTACAAGCTATGGAGACGTTGTATTTTGACTGCGCGAAATGCGTATTACATACTGAAGAACGCTTGTTTAAAGAGCATTATCGCGCGCATTACTAAGATACGCATACCGAATTCGCCATGCAGACATTAGCATTACTCCCGTAATAAGGCTCGGTTCAGACGGCGACATTTTCAAGCGCTTCATTTCTTACGGCACAACCGCACAAGCTCGGCAACTGATTTAGAGTTTAGATGCAGCTCTTCTAGATCTGTCGTACTTATAAATCGTTGTATTACGGGTTCGGCGCATGAGAAAGTTCGCCGTCTAAACCGAGTCTAAAGCTGTCTGCATGCATGGCGAATTCGGTATGCGTATCTCAGTTATTGATATGCGCGCGATAATGCTCTTTATTTAAACAAGCGTTCAGTATGTAACACGCATTTCGCGCAGTAAAATACAATGTCTCTATAGCTTGTAATCATGTTTGACATATGCATTGTTGTATAAAAGTAAAAAGCTGAGCAAAAACATGAAAATATAAAAGTGAAAATATAAAAGTGAAAATATAAAAGTGAAAATATAAAAGTGAAAATATAAAAGTGAAAATATAGAAGTGAAAATATAAAAGTGAAAATATAAAAGTGAAAATATAAAAGTTAAAATATAAAAGTGAAAATATAAAAGTGAAAGTCTAAGTAGGAAAATATAAAAGTTAAAAGTTGGAGATGAGCGTCTAAGCAGGAAGACCTCCTGGGGCTATGGTATGTGATTCAGCATTTCATTGATGTCTGACTTGCAACCGAAAAACACGATATCGTCGGCTGTTGACATGGCCGGAATTCCACTGCGTATCACTAAAGCCGAATCCAGCTTTCGCGCATGTCAATGTAACCGTCTTTATACGCACGGCCTAAAAACTTTCTTACTGTCAAATAAGTTAATTGTGCCTAAAACTGTGTTAAATTGTAAAAATATAAAAGTGAAAATATAAAAGAAATGAAAATATAAAAGTGAAAATATAAAAGTGAAAATATAAAAGTGAAAATATAAAAGTGAAAATATAAAAGTGAAAATATAAAAGTGAAAATATAAAAGTGAAAATATAAAAGTGAAAATATAAAAGTGAAAGTATAAAAGTGAAAATATAAAAGTGAAACTCTCGGGAAACTTAAACTTTTGGAAATATTGTAAAAAAGCGCCTTAGTTTTGGAGCTTCTGTTTGGCAGAATTAAATGATGATGACATTAACTTGCTGACATTTTCGTAGTTTAAATAGTGCTGACTTGTTGTTTTATAATGAAAATAATCTCCGTTTTAATTATAAACCTACGAGGTTCACACGTAGAAATGGCCGATTTGCATGCGACGACTATTCTATATATGGATTTTAGAAATTTTATGTATTAAGGGCGGACCATTTGATGGGGTGGATTTTCATCGAGCCCAATAATCAGTTTTTAAACCTCCTAATGCTGCTCGATATTTTTCTGTCATTCAAGGCTCTTCAACGATTGTTTTATTTCGGGGACACATATAGGTAGTAAGTATTGAATATAGGCTATAGATCGTGATTTAAGAGAATTTTTTATAAAGTTTGGACATGCAAATGTTCACAATTGTAGTATATTTACAATTGTATATATTTGTAATTTCCTGACATATTCATGTAAATATTGTATATTATAATATCTACTATATATGTAAATGTCACACAGTAATCAGTGTAACAAGCTGTTTGAAAATGTATATATGTGTAACGTCAACTTGGGCAATGTAAGTTGTGCAGCAGCGTAAATATTGGGTATTCTATTACGTAGTATTTAAAACACTAGAAGGAGTGTTTTATCGTATTTAAAACGCGAGGCGCAGCCGAGCGTTTTAGATATGATAAAACGCGAGTTCGAGTGTTCTGAATAGCTTAAAATACGACTACAAAAGCATACTAATTAGGATGAACAATTATATAATGGAATGGGACCGGCTAAAGTCGCTAAACGGAGAGTTATGAAGCGGAGAGTTATCTCAGAGAGTTATGATTTCGGAGAGTTATGTTCGAACCACACCCAAACCACGCCCACTTTTTCCAACGATACTAATTAGGATGAACAATTATATAATGAATGGGACCGGCTAAAGTCGCTAAACGGAGAGTTATGAAGCGGAGAGTTATCTCAGAGAGTTATGATTTCGGAGAGTTATGTTCGAACCACACCCAAACCACGCCCACTTTTCCCAACGACCACACCCAATTTCTTAACTCTCCTGACGTTTCCTTGAACTAACATGAGAGAGTTATGTTTGACGTAACTCTCTCTCGTTAACATTATGAAGATGTTAGAGAGTTATCATTTTTTATAACTCACCGCGTTCACGATTGTGGCAATGCCAATGAAGAGAGTTATGTCCGTCAGTTTTTTGAAAAAAACTTCCACATTCTAGTAAAATTATTGTGAATTTACTTTTTTCTCAAGTTTCAGCTTTAATATTTCACGCTAGTAGAAACTTGTAGTAATTTGGTACTTACCAAGTGAAGCGAGTACGAGTAAATAAATTATTATACATGCTCACTTGGATTATCTACAAAGCCCAGCATTCAGATACAGCTCTCGTATTAGATGGAACCAGAAAACCTTTCCAATGCATGTAATGCCCTATTGGCTGATCTGGGAAAATATTTCCAAAACCTGAATTGCTGAAAGATTCAATTTTCTTAATTTTTTCAATTTTCTTGCAACTATGCTTCCTTATTTACTGCCAAATACACGTCAAAGCATGCTTCTGGGGGTACTTTGACCCTTCTGATGCAAGCATCTCACTGTTTTGACCGAGTCAAGTTGTACTATTCAGTTCTGTTTGGACGCACGCTATTGACACGCTACAAACTGAAATACCAAAATATAAGATGAAAATCTGAAGAAACAAGCTTTACTAAAGTTTTCTCAAAAAACTGACATAACTCTTCATTGCCACAATCGTGAACGTTATAAAACATGATGACTCTCTAACATCTTCATAATGTTAACGAGAGAGAGTTACGTCAGTCAAACATAACTCTCTCATGTTAGTTCAAGGAAACGTCGGGAGCGTTCTGCCTCGTCCCCAGTCGCTTTATTAAATTCGCCGGGAGGGGGATAAAGGGAGACATTGGAGGATAGAGTTTTAATTTGTTTCGTCTTCCCAGCATGCATCACAACAGATTTGTTCAGCCACTGATCTATATATTAAACTGATATGTCTATATATACACTGATCTATAAATAGTAAGGGCCTGCGGAGGAGGCAGGGGAGAGTCTGCCTCCTCCGCAGGCTCCTCTATATAGATCAAATTTAAATATCGGTATTATATAGATCAGCGCGTGCACTGCAAGCCCGATAAAGACGCACGCCCGCAACTAAGGACGAGCGCTCGTCTTTTCCTAATTAATTATTTGATAGCAAGCGACTGGGGACGAGGCAGGGGGAGAGTTAAGAAGTTGGGTGTGGTCGTTGGGAAAAGTGGGCGTGGTTCGAACATAAATCTCCGAAATCATATCTCTCCGAGATTACTCTCCGGTTGGTACTACTCTCCCTTTAGCCATACCCATAAAGAATGCTAATGAAAATGAGTTTTATCAGATATAAAGTCACTTCACGTGACATATTATGGCTGACATGAGTATTTTAAATGTATTTGAAAGGCTTAGGGAAGGTTATAATTTCGTTCTACATTTATACACAGTGGAATAGTGATGTGTATAAGCACTCACATGAATGGACCTTGGCACGTGTTAGCCTTTTGGTAAGTAAAACGGGGATTATAGGTCAGCGCTTTGCCCGATAATCGAAAGGCGATGCCTGCGGAGGAGGCTAGGTCAGCGCAATGTAAACTATGAAAATGACAGCAAGTGAATGTAACTGAATTTAATTCAATGGCAGTGTTAGCGCAGTTATATACAGAAGCACCAAAACTAAGGCGCTTTGCTACAATATTTCCAAACGTTTCACGCGAAAGACGGCGAATAGCCTCCTATCATACATACATATTGAATGCGGATTAAATTAAATTCCATGGCTAAAAATTCGAACGGGTGAAAACATATTCATTTCACAGATCTAAGGCTGGTGTACTTTAATTTATAGGGTATTATAATTAGTTGCGGTAGTAATCATGTGTTTATAAAATGCTCCGTCGTCCGTCGTCCGTCGTCCGCCCGCCTTTTATCTACAGTCTCACATACCATAGCCCCAGGTGGTCTTCCTGCTTAGACGCTCATCTCTAACTTCAACTTTTATATTTTCACTTTTATATTTTCACTTTTATATTTTCACTTTTATATTTTCACTTTTATATTTTCACTTTTATATTTTCACTTTTATATTTTCACTTTTATATTTTCACTTTTATATTTTCACTTTTATATTTTCACTTTTATATTTTCACTTTTAACTTTTATCTTTTCACTTTTATCTTTTCACTTTTATATTTTCACTTTTATATTTTCACTTTTATATTTTTACTTAGTTTATATTATGTTTCAGCTCAGCTTTTTACTTTTATAGAACAATGCCTATGTCAAACATGATTACAATTTACAAGCTGTAGAGACATTATATTTTACTGCGCGAAATGCGTGTTA